ATTGCCGTCACACAATCATGGCAGCCTTATTGTCGTCACACAATCATGGCAGCCTTATTGTCGTCACACAATCATGGCAGCCTTATTGTCGCACACAATCATGGGAGTCTTATTGTCGTCATACAATCATGGAAGCCTTATTGACGTCATACAATAATGGGAGCCTTATTGCCTTCACACAATCATGGCAGCCCTTAATTGTCGCACACAATCATGGGAGCCTTATTGTCGTCATACAATCATGGGAGCCTTATTGTCGTCAACTACAATAATGGGAGCCTTATTGCCGTCACACAATCATGGGAGCCTTATTGCTCATCATACAATCATGGGAGCCTTATTATCGTCATAAGCAATAATGGGAGCCTTATTGCCGTCACACAATCATGGGAGCCTTATTGTCGTCTAACAATCATGGGAGCCTTATTGTCGTCACACAATCATGAAGTGCCTTATTGTCGTCACACACAATCATAGGGAGCCTTATTATCGTCACACAATCATTTGAAGCCGTATTGTCGTCACACAATCATGGGGAGCCTTATTGTATCGCACACAATCATGGGAGCCTTATTGTCGTCATACAATCATGGGAGCCTTATTGCCGTCACACAATCATGGGAGCCTTATTGTCGTCATACAATCATGGGAGCCTTATTGCCGTCATACAATCATGGGAGTCTTATTGTCGTCACACAATCATTGGAGACTTATTGCCGTCACACAATCATTGGAGCCTTATTGTCGTCACACAATCAAGGAGCCTTATTGTCGTCACAACAAATCATGGGCAGCCTTATTGTCGTCACACAATCATGGGAGGCCTTATTGTCGTCATACAATCATGGGAAGCCTTATTGTCGTTATACAATCATGGAAGCCTTATTGTTCGTCATACACAATCATCCGTCCGAGCCTTATTGTCGTCACACAATCATGGCCGTAGCCTTATTGTATCGTAAATACAATCGTCAATCATGGAGCCTTATTGTCGGTCACACAATCATGGGAGCCCCCTTATTGTCCGTCACACAATTAATGGGAGCCTTATTGTTCGTCACACAATCATTGGAGCCTTATTATCGTCATACAATCATGGGAGCTTACCTGTCGTCACACAAATCATGGGAGCCTTATTGTCGCACACAATCATGGAGCGAAATTATTGTCGACACACAATCATGAGTGAGCCTTATTGTCGTGCACACAATAATGGAAGCTTATTATCGTCATACAATCATGGAATCCTTATTGTCGTCACACAATCATGGGAGCCTTATTGTCGTCACACAATCATGGAGCCTTATTTGTCATACAATCATTGGAGCCTTATTGTCGTCACATACAATCATGGGAGCCTTATTGTCGTCACACAATCATGGGAGCCTTATTGTCGCCACACAATCATGGGCAGCCTTATTTTCGTCACACAATCATGGGAGCCTTATTATCGTCATACAATCATGGAAGCCTTATTGTCGTCATACAATAATGGGAGCCTTATTGCCGTCACACAATCATGGGAGCCTTATTGCTATCATACAATCATTGGAGCCTTATTATCGTCATACAATAATGGGAGCCTTATTGCCGTCACAGAATCATGGGAGCCTTATTGTCGTCTAACTATCATGGGAGCCTTATTATCGTCATACAATCATTAGAGCCGTATTGTCGTCACACAATCATGGCAGCCTTATTGTCGCACACAATCATGGGAGCCTTATTGTCGTCATACAATCATGGAAGCCTTATTGTCGTCATACAATCATGAGTCCCTTATTGTCGTCACACAATCATGGGAGCCTTATTGTCGTCATACAATCATGGGAGCCTTATTGTCGTCACACAATCGATTGGAGCCTTATTATCGTCAAACAATCATTGGAGCCTTATTGCGTCATACAATCATAGGAGCCTTATTGTCGTCACACAATCATGGAGCATTATTGTCGATCACACAATCATGAGTGCCTTATTGCCTTCACACAATAATGGAAGCCTTATTATCGTCATACAATCATGGAGCCTTATTGTCGTCACACAATCATGGGAGCCTTATTGCTCGTCACACAATCATTGGAGGTCTATTGTCGTGTTCACACAATCATGGAGCCTTATTTATCCATCATACAATCATGGGAGCCTTATTGTCGTCACACAATCATGGGAAGCCTTATGCCTATCATACAATCATGGGATCCTTATTATCGTTCATACAATCATGGAGCCTTATTGCGTCACACAATCATGGAGTCTTATTGTCGTCACACAATCATGGAGCGCTTATATCGTGCATACAATTCATGGGAGCCTTATATGTCGTCTAACAATCATGGGAGCCTTATTGCCGTCACACAATCATAAGTGCCTTATTGTCGTCACACAATCATTGCGAGCCTTATATTCGCCATTACAATCATTGGAGCCTTATTGTCGTCACACAATCATGGGAGCCTTATTGTCGCACACAATCATGGGAGCATTATTGTCGTCACACAATCATGAGTGCCTTATTGTCGTCACATAATCATGGGAGCCTTATTATCGTCATACAATCATGGGAGCCTTATTGTCGTCACACAATCATGGGAGCCTTATTGCCGTCACACAATCATGGGAGCCTTATTGTCGTCATACAATCATGGGAGCCTTATTGTCGTCACACAATCATGGGAGCCTTATTGTCGTCACACAATCATTGGAGCCTTATTATCGTCATACAATCATAGGAGCCTTATTGTCGTCACACAATCATGGGAGCCTTATTGCTATCATACAATCAAGGGAACCTTATTGCCTTAACACAATGCTGGGAGCTTTATTGCCATCATACAATCATAGGAGCCTAATTGCCGTCACACAGTCATGGGAGCCTTAATGCTATCATACAATCAAGGGAACCTTATTGCCTTCACACAATGCTGGGAGCCTTATTGCCATCATACAATCATGAGTGCCTTATTGTCGTCACACAATCATGGGAGCCTTATTGTCGTCATACAATCATGGGAGCCTTATTGTCGTCACACAATCATGAGAGCCTTATTGTCGTCACACAATCATGGGAGCCTTATTGTCGTCACACAATCATTGGAGCCTTATTATCGTCATACAATCATTGGAGCCTTATTGCGTCACACAATCATGGGAGCCTTATTGTCGCACACAATCATGGGAGCATTATTGTCGACACACAATCATGAGTGCCTTATTGCCGTCACACAATAATGGAAGCCTTATTATCGTCAAACAAGCATGGGAGCCTAATTGTCGTCACACAATCATGGGAGCCTTATTGTCGTCATACAATCATGGGAACCTTATTATCCTCATACAATCATGGAAGTCTTATTGCCGTCATACAATCATTGGAGACTTATTGCCGTCACACAATCATTGGAGCCTTATTGTCGTCACACAATCATGGAAGCCTTATTGCCGTCACACAATCATGGGAGCCTTATTGTCGTCACACAATCACGGAGCCGTATTGTGCCGACAACATATCATGGGAGCCATTATTGTCGTCATTACAATCATATGGAAGCCTTATTGTCGTCACACAATAATGGAACCTTATTGTCGTCACACAATCATGGGAGCACTTATTGTCGTCACACAATCATGCGAAGGCCTTATTGCCGTCATTCAATCATGGGAGTCTAATTGTCGTCACACAATCATGGAGCCTTATTATGTCGTCACACTATCATGGGAGCCTTATTGTCGTCACACAATCATGGGAACCTTTTATTGCTGATCATAGCAATCATGGGAGCCTTATTATCCGTCATACAATCATGGGAGCCTTATTGGAACGTCACACAATCATGGGAGCCTTATTTTCGTCAACACAATCATGAGTGCCTTATTATCGTCATACAACAATTGGACCCTTATTGTCGTCACACAATCATGGGAGCCTTTATTGTCGTCACACAATCACACAATCATGGGAGCCTAATTGCCATCATACAATCCTGGAAACCTTATTGCCGTCACACAATCATGGGAGCCTTATTGCCATCATACAATCACGGGAGCCTTTTTGTCGTCATACAATCATGGGAGACTTATTGCCGTCATACAATGATGAATGCCTTATTGCCTTCACACAATGCTGGAAGTCTTATTGCCTTCACACAATCCTGGAAGCCATATTGTCGTCACACAATCATGGGAGATTTATTGCCGTCACATAATCATGGGAGCCTTATTGCCTTTACACAATCATGGAAATCTTATTGCCTTCATACAATCATGGGAGCCTTATTGCCATCATACAATCCTGGAAACCTTATCGCCATCATACAATCATGGTAGCCTTATTGACTTCACACAATCACGGGAGCCTTATTGCCTTCACACAATCATGGGAGCCTTAATGACTTCACACAATCATGGGAGCCTTATTGCCGTCACACAATCATGGAGAATTATTGCCTTCACACAATCAAGGGAGCCTTATTGCCGTCATACAATCACGGGAGCCTTATTGGCCGTCACACAATCACGGGAGCCTTATTGCCGTCATACAATCATGGGAGACTTATTGTCGTCACACAATCATGGAAGCCTTATTGACTTCACATAATCATTGGAGCCTTATTGCTTCGGCGACGGTGTTGATATTTCTATGAAAGAGTGGAAAAAACATGTCGAGAAAAGCAAGATATCGTTTTTGCGGTATCATAACTCACAAATAATCGCCAAAATACGGCATGTTTTTCTATCATGTTTTAAAACTTGATCTGATATCTATTAAAGGGACGTAAATGTGAACGTGATGGCAAATATAGCAATATAGCCGTTGTTACGTCTCTAACAACGTAGCAAATGGGGAATAAAAGCCACCCAAAAACAATACAGAACACTATTCATTTTGGGTATTCAAGGTCTCTGTAAAGGTGCGACGGTTTTTAAAGTTTTATATATAGGGAAAAACATGTGCTCGTGTTGTTTACAAACCTCATGACAAACTTGTACATTATTATGGTCGCAATTAGATTGCTGATTATTTTTTGGAGGCCTTTCTAGATAGAATTCCCTCGACATATTGAATAAACAGGTTGTTTTACCTCAGTCCAATTTTCGGCTACCCACATTGACGGACAATTACTCCGCTTACATAACTTTTCTGAGACTGGTCTCTCTCCCGGACATTCTTTCTCATCCAATGTAACCACTTCTTCTTGTGTGATCCGTTGCTTGCAGACCACGGTTCGGGTTTTTCTCCCGCCACCACAGGTATGACTACAGCGGCTCCAATTGCCTATTTCCCAACTAAAATGAAAATTGACAAAAGTAGCAAAAATCAACATAACTATCTGTCGCACAGAAGCTTTTTAATAGCAGTTATTTATATCTGACCACTGACAATGAAACAATTAAACCCACACTATTTTATATAATAAATAAGAACCCATTACAAATATATATATATATCTAAACAACTGACAGCTTATGCCGAATTCTTCCGAATAAATGTCTTATTTACTTACTCTGAAGGGCATGGTTCCTGGTTACAGTGTTTGTAGTGATGACTAGGTTTAGGTTGCGGGACACAGTAGCTGTCGTTGACTATCGTCTGTCGATATTTGTGAACACACACTGCTTCAGATGTGCTAATACCTGCAGTTATAAAAGTTTTTAGACTTATATTTTAGTGGTGGTGGTAGTTTTCACTGTAAGCCACATTCAATTGCCCAGTTCAGCCACCGCATCGTCCCTGGGCATGGCATCAAACAGTTTACCAGTACCGGTTGCCTCCACTTTCGCAAGGAAATGATAACTTCTGTACATACCAGAACAGAGGAACATTAAATGACCGTTGGAAGAATTTCATGATGAATCACAACGAAAGTGACCTGCATCGTCTTGGAATCAAACCTGGGTCGCCCGATCGACAGTCCAACGCTCTGAGCTAACCCTATGGCCATCCTGATATTTTTACAACGTTTTGTCAACATGTAATGATCTTATAAAGAATTTGATATTATGATTGTCTTGCTCCTGACATTTTACGTGATATCATATCTTTGCTTTATGTTTTTAAATATTTAATTCATAACGATCTAGGAATAATTTTTCGAAGGATACTGGTTTTGTTAGTGACATTTTTAATGTGGATATGTTCAATTTCAGAGTAAAAATGAACGTTTTTTTCCCTTTTCCCGCTTTGGTAGGAAAAATTGCCCCCAGGCAAATTTAAACCCAGTGAAAGGTGACATTCGGGCTTTTTGATGTTCATTGAAAGGAACGTTGTTCGAAATTGTCTCCTTGATTGTTTTTGTTTAAATAAAAAATTTTAAAAAAAATTCCTATTTTCAATGACTTTTCCAAAGGTAATTTTTTGTGAAACATGTTGAAAATAAAATAAAGGAATATTTTTTAAAAAAGGGAAAATTGCTTTTCGGCACTTTTTTTAAAAGGGCAAAAAACTTAAATTTAAAAAGTGAAAATGGCAAAACTTTTTAAAAGTAAAAATTGGTAAAAAGCTAAAAAAAAAAGCAACCAAAATCAAAAACCAACTTGCTATGAAAGGATAAAACTGTGTTGAAATTTTTTTCTTTTTAAATGAGGTAGGAATAAAAAAAAAGGGGCCAAGGGGCCCCCCTCGCTCCCTGACCCACCTTACCCGGCCCCAATGTCTTGCAAGCGCCCGGTTTGTTTGACAATTGAGAAAAAAGGGAGACAAAAGAGTTTTTAAAAATGGTTTACGTGTATTTATTTTTGGGGCCCAGTGTACATTTTTTTTTGACCAAGGTGACCCTATTCAAATTTCACCTAAAAATCTAAAAACCCTTTGTGACCGTTTCCCAAGGGGTTTGGATAAAAACTTTGGGCCGCCAAAGTAGTTCACAAAAAATTTTCCCTTTTTCTATTTTCATTTTGACCAAAGTTTTACATCGGGCGAAAACCCATTTTTCGAACTCCCCCAAGCAATTAACTAGTTAACCATCCTGACCAATTTTTAAATGAAAATTAAATAAAAATTTTTTACCATTGAATTTAATAAAAAGGGGTTTTTCCTATTTAAAAATTTGTGACTGTTTTTGCCCCGCGGGTGCCCCATTTTTAAATTGATAAAAATTTTTCAAAAAAAATTTTTCCCGACAATTTCCAATTTTTGGATAAAAACATTTTGGCCCTAGTGTTTTAAAAAGATTTTTTTTTTTTTTTGGGTTTCCGGGCCCTGTTTTTGCCGGGAAAAATGACACTTATTGAATTTTCCCTGAAATATCAAAAATTGCTAAAAATGTAAAGGATATTTGGATAAAAATGCCACCCTATATTGTTTTAAAACAAGTTTTTCTCTTTTTAGCTCCCTTTAAACCTAGTTTTTGACAAAAAAGGGAAATTTTCAAACTTGCCCTAAAAATCATAAAAAAAATTTCCCCTTGCCCAAATTTTCCAGTTTTTTTTGGATAAAAACTGACCACTAGGTGTTAACTTTCTATTTCTATTATTCCCCGTGCCTTGTCTTTGCCCGAGAAAACCCTATTCAAACTTGGCCTGAATTCATTGAGACAAACATTCTGACAAAGTTTGATTATGATCCAATCAAAACTGCTAGAGTGTTAACAACCCAATTGTTGACGACGCACGACGCACAACGCACACCGGACATAGCCCTTATTACTATACCTCACCTTGACTACAACGTGGTCAGGTGAGCTAAAAAGTCGATTTTCAATTGAATTCTGAGTATATTTCTTTATTATCCTTTCCAGTTGTTTTCAGTTTTCAAGTGATTCACTCGGTTTAAGTAATAATTCCAAATTTTGTGATTTTAGGCCTTTTTACTTCAGTGGATCTCCTTTAAACAATATACTTAACAACATGTACTTTTTGCAATCATTTATCATAAAAAACACTGAAAAAGAAAAGGTATGCACTTGCTTTCTATATAAATAAGATTATCATCATGGAAGGATCAAAATCGAGAATAGTTACCATAACAACGAGATTTTCACTTGTTGGCCCAACCGCTCGCATGATTTCTGGGGATCATTCTGTTTCGTAGTGAAAAACGTCCCCGTCTGTGAATTCGGGGGAGTCTATATCCCAAACCCTTTATATAAAAGGGCCCTTTTCACTTTTTTAAACTTCAACGATAAAAAAGGTAAATTAAACCCTGATGTGTAGAATATATTACATGTTTTTTTTCATTTGAAAATTGCGTTTTTTTCCACTTAAAAAAATAGGTTTTAAAGGTACAAAATTAAAGTCTTATAATTTTTAAAAAACACGTTTATCTAAAATTTTTTTCGGTTCTTTTGTTTAAAAGTCGGGAATGTTTATAAAAAAATGTGTTTCAATATTGAACCTCAACATTGATGTTGTGTGCTCCCTTTGGTGGTCAATAGACCTTAAAAAATTTTTTCTTTTTTTAAATAACGGGTAATTAAAAAATTTTAAAATGTTTTGCGTTACGAAAAAAAATTTAAAAATGAATTTAAATAAATTTGGTAGGGACAAAAGACCCAAAATTTCACCCAAAACCCCAGTGTAAAAATTGATGTTTTCCCCTATTGATTCTGGGGATGGATTTTTGTTTTTATAAATTTTGACAATTTTTTGTTTTTTTTGTTTGTTTTTTTTTTCATTTGACCCCTTTTCCCCAAACGTTTTCATTTCATTTTAGGGGGGCAGTTTCCAAACCCATCTTTCCCTTGGAGGAAAAACCCCAGAAAAAGGATACCTTCCCCCCGTGCAAAATCCGCATCCCCCGGGGTGGGAACCCCACGCCAGGGGGTTTAACGGGAATTAAAAGTAAATCGACTCCCCCCCTCGAACGGGGGCCCGGTTAAATTATTGACAAAAGTGGCAAAACACTTTGCTTTGTTTAATATAGGAAACATGCATAAACTAGAAAATAGTTGCGTTTTGTCTAAATTTAGCTACACGACCGATTTACTTACCTAGATAATTATGCGATTCATACGCCTCCTGTATTTGTATATGCATAGCTCCAGTTGGTATTATTAAAATTTCCTGATAAGCTAAAAATTTAAGACAAAAAAAACTGTTATCTTCCTGTCATGTCATAAATTATTATGACATAAATAATGCCAATTTCAATACGTAAAAGCTTTTATCAACAATGCAAAATATATTTACTTGTGTGTAAGTCCTCACCTTTCACATTAACAAATTTTGCCGAGACGCTGTGCACAAAGCTAAAATGTTTACTTTACAAAGTGATGATAAAATTATATTTATATGAGTATTACTTTTTTCATTATTTTTTGCACAATAACTGGATCAAACTTAAAAAAAATTAAATAATTGACAAGTAACTAACACCATTGAAAGAAGAAGGTCAATTATGCAAACGGGTGCATTTTAGGATGTTCTTTTCCCGGAAATTTTTTAAATTTAAAAGAACTCTAAAGCGAAAACTTCAAAAACAAAAACAAAAAAAAGGAAAACAATTTAAAAACTTACCCCCCCTTGGGGTAGACTTTTATTCACGGTCCCAAAAGGGTTTGCGGCCCAGTTTCCGTCCCTGCAACACCCCGGATTGCCCCCTGGGTTCCCAAATTTCCGTCCCCCAAAAATGCTGTTAAAATAATGACAAAATTCCCAAAAAGTTTTTAAAAAACAAATGTTCTTTTATTGCCCTTGTGTATTTTTTTTTGTTATTTTGTTTGCGAAATTTCCCACAAAAAATTTGTTTCTGTGAAAAAAAAAAAGCTGGTTTGGGCTAAAAATATTTTTCCCACCGTTTTTCCCCTGGTTTATTTTGTTTATTTTTTTCCAAACTTGTTTAAAAGGCCCTTTCCACTGCAAAGGAATGTACGTTTAAATTTGACATTGTCTTCCTATTATTTCATTCTTTCAATTAGGTGTCTCCAAGTTTCATAGTAACAGAACTAATCCCTATTCGAATTCGCATTGATTACATAAATTTGTTCCTTCTATATTTATATAAGTGTCATAATATAATATTCACAATACCGTTTAACGGTCCCTAAACAAAGTATAGTGAAATATTACTTGTCTGGCCGCTTAAAATTAGCGGTGTTTAACCGCGAGGAATAATTTTCCAGAGCAAACAATAAATTTTGGAGTTTTACTTACATGATTTCCTTGTTCGCTGAACTTTTACAATTACGTTCCAGTATTTAAAACGCGTTTTAATATTAGAAATATCACACAATACTTCGGACCTGATATAATTGTATTGGCCCTCAAGTTAGTCCGAAACAGAGAACAGACGTCATCTTTCGGCTTTTGTTTGTTTAATGTTTAATCACTGACTGATCAGTCGCTTTTAAAAGTTCTATCAAGTCCTCAGTACTGCGTAATATATCTAAAATGAGACAGCTTAATAATGCTGATATGATCAACAGCGGCAATCACGATTATTTTGATGGTAAGTTGTATTATTTCAATCAAGTTATTGTGTTATGTTCTGTCAACAAGTATTAGTAGTTAGTCAAAATGACCAATCATTCTCACCCTGGGCATTCTCCATGAAAACACATTCCATTTTTTGTCCGGATAACCCTTGGGGTTCCATTTTAAAACCCCCTTTTGGCACGCTCTGTGTTTGAAAATTTTAAAAAACCCCCAGCCATACAGTTCAATTTCACAACCCTTATTTTTGGGCTGTAAAGGGGGCATTTAAAAATTTTTCTTAACAGGGAAAAATTTTTATTTCCCTTATAAAAAAGGGAAAGGTTTTTACGAAAAATGTCAGTAATGCTGTTTTATTATATTGGGTTGGGTTTTTAAAAACATTACCCAAAAAATCTTTTTTAAAAAAATCCTGGGAAAATCATGTTTTTTTTGTTTTTAAACATAAATATGATACTGAAATGTAGATTTATCAATATTGTAAGTTCCATAGATCCAAAGATAGATATTACCGAATTTACATTTCATTTAGATAAAGGGAGGTAGTTAGATAATTATTTATTTTCGATAAAGTCTTAGCCAATTATTAAATGCATACATTTTAAAGATTACTTATAATGCGTATAAACATTTGCGGTACATATTAAAAATATTCTTGATGTTTGGAAATTGTTCAAAAAGAATAATTATTTACAGATATAAACTTTTACTTAAGTATTGTTACATCTTTATATTAATTACAACATACAGGATCTTTTAACGTTATTTGTCATCAAATATTATATTGAACATTTTGAGACTTTATAGATATACTTTCAACCAGAGTCTTTCAATTCTATCTGAATTTCCCTATATCTTTCTATATTGAAAATGGTCAAAACTCAAAATTGCAAAACACAAGACGGCTTCTTACTTCCGGTGAATGGTACCCAATTAAATTTGCGTCCGCGGAAAGGAATGGTGTTGTATTCGGAACATTGGATCTTTCGGAAATCATCGGCTCCGTCCGGACACTCACGCTAGAGGATAAAAACATAACAGTTTATGCAAGATTGTTGCAATTTATTTAGAAATGCGATTCGACATTTGATTAAAGATCACAACCTACACACATCTCATCATGCCATTTGTGTCAGTGCCTTTCAAGAGATGAAAAAATGTCTTGGATTCCTTAAAAAAGAACTAAAAGAATACTATATACTTGCATTGTTGACAATTTTCTATGAACAATAAAGTTAACGTGAACATGTTGGTGTGCTTTTGGCATTACATTATTCAATATGATTAAATAACTCTATTTCTTACGTCCTTTTTACAAGATATATACTGAAGTCGGTCCCCAACACAATACTGTCCTCCATGAGCTGGTCTGTAACAAGAATAATGCCGCCATTATAAACACCCATGCATATCAAAACAAAAAAAAACTTTTTCTCGTGGACGCGTTCTGCTTAGCAGAAGTACTGAAAATCCATAATTATGCTGTAATAAGTGTACGCAATGAAATAGTCTGACCACTAAATGAAAAAGCCTAACCACAAAATAGTCTGACCACTAAATGAAAAAGCCTTACCACATAATGTACAAGCCTGACCATTAAATGAAAAAGTCTGTAGTGACCATTAAATAAACTAGCCTGGCCACTGAATGAAAAAGCCTAACCACTAAATGTACTAGCCTGACCATTGAATAAAATAGCCTGACCGATTAAATGGAATAGCCTTACCACTTAAATGAAATAGCCTGATCACGACATAATTAAGATGTGCAGCAAGGCTATTTACCTCATGTATATATCTTCATTTATTTATAAGTAAAGTCACATACATCAGCCGTTTTTACTAGCATTTCTTTGCTCTATAAATCACAGGCACTCGGTTCCACAACCTTCTATGATATTCAATTTCTTAAAAATATTTTTTATAGTTTGTATATAAAATACTACAAGGTTTCGCAGCCGCCATGTTTTAACGCAACGGAAGTGCATTGACTGGTTTACAATTTCCAATTAAAAACATTAGTTCCCGATTCGATTAATAGAGACAATTGGCTAATACGCGAACCATACTTATTGACTATTTGGTTGTGGTACCCGCATCGACAATATTCTTTAAAGAGTGACTCGGGAGCCAGTATTTTTAAAAAGAATTGTAAACCAGTCAATGCACTTCCGTTGCGTTAATACATGGCGGCTGCGAAACCTTGTAGTATTTTATATATACCAAAACAATAATTTTTTTTATTCACGGATTTTAAATAAAAATGTGAGCGTTGAATCCTACTAGTGCCTATGCTATAAATGGGGAACATGTATATTAAACGATTTTAATTTGAAAACCACAAAAGGGAGATACATCTTACGTCGGATTGTCGCACAATCTCTCCTTGTAACTAACTCCGCGACCACATGTCCTCGAACACTCTGTGAAGCTGCTCCATGACCCCCATGACCCATCAACTGCTTCCGGTTTGTATGACAGAGGCATACACTGTCGACGATAGCAGGTCTGTAAACATGAAATAGATATATACAAATTTGCTCGTTTCCATGAGTCTATAACTTTTGTTATATGGTGTCTTTCAATTTTGTTTAGGATGTTTTTTGTTCTCAGCAAGTTATATATTATCATTTCTCAAGCCCGTCATACAAATTGCATTACAACAAAAATACCTTATAACCCAAAGCATCCCAAGCTTTATTGACAATCCCGCTTTTTATTTATATCTACATGTATTTCAGTATTGGGAGGAGGGGGGTCCAGAAAATATAATTTTATAGCTAAGTTCAGTACCTAATGGTTCGCATATTAAAGATAACAGGTAGGTCAATGTTAAATGTAAAGCTTACCCCATTAAATGATAGTGACTCGTTCCAACAGGGTGTGCCGTCAGCAGCAGGTATACTGTTTGTGATGCAATTGCCATCTTTATCCAGGCAAGACAACTCTTGACACATTGTCTAATGGAATAAAGTTCGTCAAAATATTCATGAAATGTAATCAAATAGCTATACCAAGTTTCTCGGCATGAAAATGTACGATTAAAATTACCAAAAATTCTGAATACATTGTTATAGAAAAGAAAAATAGAGCACATATTTCTGTAAATTGTAAAGAAGAGTGCGTATGCTAGCAAATCCGGATTTCTTTACTTTTTATCTATGAATTGTATTTTGTGTTATACATTTTTCTTTTGTTTGTGAATCACATCATCTAAGCACGTTTTTATTGTTTTCAATATAAGCTGGAAAATAAAATTAGTAACTTACAGAATGCTTGCAAGCGAGTGACCTTTCATGAAATTGCAGACGACATTGTTTGTCCGCGTTCTGGTCCATTTTGAATTGACTGACTGGAACGTCTGCTTGATGCTGATCAGTGGACATGGCTTCCAGGCAACTCCCGCGTCCGGACCTTATACGTAGAACGTAATATATGACTTAAATATCAATTTTTGTATCATAAGGAATAACAAGAGGGCCATGATGGCCCTGAGTCGCTCACAAGATGATCATCCATCAATTAGTTCTGTAGTAGAAGATGTTTAAAGGTTTTCCTATTTTTAGCTTAAACGGCCTAAACAAGGGGCTAATCAAATTAATATGGGCAAACTTGATAAAAGACTACCAAAGAATGCTACAGACAATGTTTGGTGATCATCCATCCATTAGTTCTGTAGAAATAGACATTTAAAGGTATTTCTATTTTTAGCTTAAGCGGCCAATAAAAGGGGCCAATCAAATGCATATGAGCAAACTTCTAAAGACTACCCAAGAATGCTACAGACTAAGTTTGGTGATCATCCATCAATTAGTTCTCTAGAACATTGTAGAAATAAACATTTAACGGAATTTCTATTTTTAGCTTTAGTGGCCCCTAAAAGGGGCTAATCAAATTAATATGAGCAAATTTGATAAAACACTACCCGAGAATGCTACCGACTAAGTTTGGTGATCATCCATCGATTAGTTTTGTAGGAGAAGATGTTTAAAGGTTTTACTATTTTTAGCCCTAGAGACCCCTAAAAGGGGCCAATCAAAATAATATGAGCAAACTTGATAAAAGACTACCCAAGAATGCTACAGACAAAATTTGGTGATCATCCATGAATAAGTTCTCTAGAAATAGACATTTAACGGTATTTCTATTGTTAGCTTTTGCGGCCCCTAAAAGGGGCCAATTACATTAATATGAGCAAATTTGATAAAACACTACCCGAGAATGCTACAGACAAGGTTTGGTGATCATCCATCAATTAGTTCTGTAGGAGAATATGTTTAAAGGTTTTACTATTTTTAGCCCTAGAGACCCCTAAAAGGGGCCAATTATAATAATATTAGCAAACTTAATAAAAGACTACCCAAGAATGCTACAGACAAAATTTGATGATCATCCATGAATAAGTTCTCTAGAAATAGACATTTAACGGTATTTCTATTGTTAGCTTTTGCGGCCCCTAAAAGGGCCAAGCAAATTTGATAAAACACTAAAAATGCTACAGACAAAGTTTGGTGATCATCTATCAATTAGTTCTGTAGAAATAGACATTTAAAGGTTTTTTCTTTTTTTAGCTTTAGCGGCCCCTAAAAGAAGCCAATCAAATTCATATGAGCAAACTTGATAAAAGACTACCTAAGAATGCTACAGACAAAGTTTGATGATCATCCATCCATTAGTTCTGTAGAAGAAGATGTTTAAAGGTTTTTCTATTTTTAGCGCTAGAGACCCTCTAAAAGGGGCCAATCAAATTAATATGAGCAAACTTGATAAAAGACTACCTAAGAATGCTACAGACAAAGTTTGGTGATCATCCATCGATTAGTTCTGTAGAAGAAGTTGTTTAAAGGTTTTTCTATTTTTAGCTCTGCTGACCCCTAAAAGGGGCCAATTGAAATGACATGAGCAAATTCAAGTGTGACTGTCACAAGGATGCTACAGACCAAATTTGAAGTAAATCTGCTTAGTAGTTTCAGAGAAGAAGACGATTGTTGACGCATGACGACGGACGACGGACGCCGGAGCATCCCCCTTTGATACTAATAGCTCACCCTGAGCCTTCGGCTCTGGTGAGCTAAAAACGTCCGGTTTGAAGTTTTTGTTGCATGTCTTACATGGGTATTTACAATGAAAAGCTATATTTCTCACAAAAATAAATTAGACAGGTATTGTGATTTTAAACGTATTTCAGCAAAAAATATAGAACATTTAAGATACTAATAAACATGAAACACATCTTACTCAAGAAAGTCGGTAATATATTGTTTGCTGCAACTTGACCACAGAAACGGATTTATATCTCCAGTCAATCTGGCCGCCATTATTCTGGCTGGTTCCTCTCCAGGTGTACCACACATGTTCCCGGCTCCATCATGCTGCATACCAAAACTGAAAATGAAACAGATCATGCATGCAATCATCTTTGTGTTCATCATTGCATGGCAATATTATGGAAAAAACATTTAGACAGTTTTCGATTTTTACAATATTTAACTCCCTTGCCAAATTTTGAAAAGTGGCAGCCATTTTTACAATATTTAACTCCCTTGCCAAATTTTGAAAAGTGGCAGCCATTTTTACGGTCGATATTTTATATAATATAATTGAAAAAAAAAACACATAAAAAATCAATATAAACAGCTGATTTAGGCGAATTGTCCAATTTTTTTTACACATATGAAAGAATATGTTACTTTAGCACCAATATGTCAAAGATTTTTTATCATTTTTCATGAAGATGATATTATAAAGAGATATTTTTATTTTATCTTAAGCATATTTTTTTATACACTGGAAATGGCCCTCAAAATGGCGACTTGAGGAGGTAATAATTTCTTTGTGAAAAGCATCTTTTAACTTGAATATATATCACACTGTTTCTGTTACATCATAAGTTTGAAAAATACAGAAAGACAAAATTTGTCAAGAAGAGAAAAAAAATATATAAATAAAATAAAATACCGCCAATGATATAAGCAATCAATGAAAAGATATTTGTGTAAATGTAATCTATAAATTAACTTTGAACTAAGTCTATATTTTTTGTAAAGGTCAAGTCATAAACCTGATAATTCAGTTATTTTCATATCAAAATAAACAATATTGAAAGAAAAAAGGAAAACGTTTAGTAAAGATAGGTGCCAAAATAAATATTAGATACTGTATGAAATGAAAAAAATTTCAGAATCGAAAAGAGACAAGCATTTGAATTAAAAACAATCACTTTAGCACAATTAGTGGTAATCAGTGAGTGTATTCACATATCTAGCTAGCAAAAGTTAATAATTTAATAATTTATAAACATTCATTAATCGTATACAATAAGTAATTGTAATAATTTTGTGTTCTCACTTATGACCCATTTCGTGCGCAATTGTAAACGCCGAAGCCAGCCCAATATCTTCATTAATACTGCATGACCTTTCGCCCTCACACATGCCAGCAACTGGTGCCAAACCTGAAAAGCAAAGTTGCTTTTATTATCTTATACAACGTAAGGAGTTACATAATGGCTGTATATAAAACTTTAAACTAATTAGGTCTTAAAACGACATATTTTTGTTCGTCTTTGAAGTCATGCAATGATAAAGCATCTGATTGTCTACTGCCTTAAAGTATATAATGTATATATAATATACAGAGGGATCAAACCGGGACACTGTTTATACTTTTAATAGCTACATCACACCGATTGTTCGGCAAGCTTTTCGAGCTGGTTATTTAGAGATACCTAAAGTCCCACAAGGCTTGTTCTTGTATGTGCAGATGTCATATCTAAAACAGAAAATACACCACGGTTATAAAGAATAATTACAATACAAATCATCACTGATCATTAATGACCATACAATACACCATTCACTTCATACACAGTGATTATTACATTTAAATTAATTAGTTAGAGTTATAAAACAATATCCGCGAAATAACGTCGTTATTGATGCGTCACAGGCATTTGTTGTTAACATCATTATTGAAAGTCCTAAGAAAAATTGTTTGCAGAAAACAAAGAAAATGAACTATGTTAAACCTCAGCTGGTCGCTGCTCATATTATTATACACTGTGTATTTCTATTACCATGTTGTTGTTTTTCATGAATTCACTCAAAGTTTTACGATGTCTATCGAAATATTCTGCAAGGAAAAGCATGTGTTTTAATGATATTTAACCAGATTTTATATTCAGTTCCAGCCATTGCTCACATGAATGTCAATATGACTACCATTAATTGTCTTTACGTTTTCTAACTGTTCAAAATGTATAATAACGTTTTTCTCTATGCCCCACAAACATACCTTGTCATTAGAACAGCATTGTCATGTGTTTGGACGCTTGTTTTGTTAAGTTGGTGCTGCCATTTACAGAAACTATCCAAAGACTTGTCAGCGTGATGGCTTATGGACAAATTTGTCTGTAATATTTACAGTCTTGTAAAAATATGATGTTAAGAGACATGGATACGATGTGAAAATTTTTGTGCACAAAATATTCTAAACTCTTTACACTTTAAGTTAGTAAAATGCATTGTCCAGATCACATAATTCAATTTGATAAAAGTTGGATGTTTAAATATTATTAATAAAGTAATCTTCATCTTACATTGAGCCGTCCGATTAGCTCAATAAGTAGAGCGTTTGAATGTGAATCGGTCGACCCGGGTTCGATTCCCGAACGGCGCATATCACTGTCATTGTGATTGATCATGAAATCCTTTCTACGGTCATTCGCATTGTACCTGTGCTCTTGCTTGTACAGAAGTAATTAGTTCCTTGCGAAAGTGAAGGCAGCCAGTACTGGTACATTGTTTGACAGCCTGCCAAGGAACGATGTGATGGCTGAACTGTGCTCGAGTAAATTCAGTCTAGCTTACTGCCGTGCTCCGGAATACCAAGTTCATCTTAGAGAAAGATAACAGGTAAGTAAAAGTAAACATTACCTTGTCTTCTGTTAGTATGACAAGCTTTGATACAACAATGTTAATGTTGTTTCCAATGGTCGGATCTCGATATAGCTTTGCAACCTGAATTGAAAAGATGCGAACGACAAGAACAGCTTATTGATATGTGATCGTTTCTATTTGCTGTCCTGTAGGGAAGCTTTGTGATATTCTAACGATTTTTTTTTGCTGTCCCCCCGCCCCCTTTTGTGAAAACTTGTGCATTTTCTGGATCTCGTTAATTGACGGTTTGTTCAAGTTAACAAACTTTTACCGTTAAATATAGTTTCCCGATTCACTACTGTGTATATTAGATCATTGTTGCGCTTATATATTATTATTGTTAATAAATGTTTTACTGGGAAAGTCAATATGCTTAATTCCGAAAGAAGTCCCTTGTGGAAGTATTAGGATGAAAAAAAAAACAATAACTAAAGATGGTAAAGAACAATATAGATCCTGCACAGTCTGCAAGGGCTTTTCGGTCTCAGATATTTTAATTAGATCAATTTTGTTAAATGAAAATGATTACTTTATTTATAACCTAACATTTGATGTCATATTGGCATCCTTCGTTTTGAACCATTTATGATATACTGTTATGAAATCTCTATTGGGATTCAAAAATGAATAAATGAAAAATAATAATAATAAACCAACATTAAGTTACAGGACGTATATACGTCTTTTTTGTATCTTTGATTTCATGAAATATTCATGAAAGATATAGTTTAATCAGGTTTATTTTTATATTAACTCAAATTGCTAGAGTTTAAAGCTATCTTACTATATTCATGATTGTCAGAACGTAAGGTTCGATGACGTTTTCTGTCCTGTGAAATTCGTACATCATCTTGTCAACCACAATCATCGTTTCCACAGTGCGTTCTTGCATTTGCATAATGACGTCACGCTTTTGTCGTCTGCTTTTGTCAGTTTTGAATGTCGTAAACTTTTCGGTCTTTTCCGCTGACTTTTCAAACGTTTCTTTACCGTTAATTGCATTGTGTGTTGCTGCCTCCTTGTGCCCTTTCTTTGGAATGTCATAAACCATTCGTGGTTTCATGTTGAACATTAACGAATTTTGAGGATTTCGGATATCCTCGGTGTCGTCTGGAAACGTTTTCTGTTGCCATGATGACTGAAATAGCTGCCGATGAAGTTGTAACCAGTGATTTTCTAATTTATTTCCGGATTTATCTGTAATGATAAACTTATGATAACATCTACAAGAAAGGATCAGAGTGAAAAAAAATAAGAAAATTGTTGATTAAATATTGCCGATTGATAATTATTTCATTTTTTTTTAATTTGGACTTTATCACACTGTAGAGTATAAATTATGTGCACTGCATAGACATGTGCACAACACATGCTCTTCAATAAGGAGTAAAACAAACCACCTTGTATTTAATCAATCAATTTGGTACGGAATGCCGTTAGGGCCATCGCCTATGAATGTGTTGATCTAAAACGCGATTGTCGATAGTACGATGGTGAAAACGCGAAATCAAGAAACTACGATGGTGAAAACGCGAAAGCACGATGATGAAAACGCGATAGTACGATGATGAAAACGCGACAGTACGATACTACGATGATGAAAACGCGATAAACTATCGTGTTTTCACCATCGTACTGTCGCGTTTTCACCATCGTAGTTTCGTGATTTCGCGTTTTCACCATCGTACTATCGACTATCGCGTTTCAGATCAAAACCATTCATACGCGATGGCCCAAACGGCATTCCGGAATGCCGTTAGGGCCATTGCCTATGAATGTGTTTATCTGAAACGCGATAGTCGATAGTACGATGGTGAAAACACGAAATAAGGAAACTACGATGGTGAAACGCGATAGTACGATGATGAAAATGCGATAGTACGATGATGAAAACACGACAGTACGATGGTGAAAACGCGATAGTACGATGATGAAAGTACGATGATGAAAGCGCGATAGTACGATGGTGAAAACGCGATAGTACGATGATGAAAACACGACAGTACGATGATGAAAACACGAAATCACGAAACTACGATGGTTAAAACGCGACAGTACGATGGTGAAAACACGATAGTTTATCGCGTTTATATCATCGTAGTATCGTACTGTCGCGTTTTCATCATCGTACTTTCGCGTTTTCATCATCGTGCTTTCGCGTTTTCACCATCGTAGTTTCGTGATTTCGCGTTTTCACCATCGTACTATCGACTATCGCATTTCAGATCAACACATTCATAGGCAATGGCCCTAACGGCATTCCGTAATTTGGTGACACAGATGTATGTATTAAAATATATATGAGCCGTGTCACGACAAAACCAACACAATGGGTTTGCGACCATCATGGATCCAGACCAGCCTGCGCATCCGCGCAGTCTGATCAGGATCCATGCTGTTCGCTATCAGTTTCTCTACTTGTTATAGGGTTTGTAAGCGAACAGCATGGATCCTGATCAGACTGCGCGGATGCGCAGGCTGGTCTGGATCCATGCTGGTCGCAAACCCATTATGTTGGTTTTGTCGTGACACGGCTCATAAATCGGTCTTTCTATTTTGCTTTTTGCACTTCCATAGGACACGACTATTGGTTATCTAAACACGTATTTACAATAAATTAGCGATGCTGATTTATGCAAAACTTAAAACCGACTTTAATGAAAGGTTACTAAAGTATTGTGCCCTAGTTCGGAAATGACTTGTTAGGGGATGTTAAAAAATCTACCAGTTAATACTTAGTATATAAAACAATGTTTGATTGGTCCTGGATTCTGTTCTAGTTAAGCTTTAGTGTGTTAAACCTAATTAATCAATTTGATAAACGATTTCAATATATAGTGAATAGTTGTTCGGTAGGTAAGTACTCGCCATAGGTTTTACAGTATCTTGTTAATTGTGTCAGTCTATCAATGAATCTACTATTCTCATTTTTTTGGCCTTTTTAGATAACACTTCCAAAGGTATTTTCACTCATTAATTTAAGATATATAAAAGGCGGTGCTATACCCTTCACCTTCCGAATTAATTATACGGGACACTTGCTTCGACTGCTGTGTCCTTAAATAGGCGCAATCCTACACCCCGAACGCTGGATAGTTACGAAACGTGGTTTGCCGCTTGACCCGGGTAAAACTTTAATCCACGTGGGAAATGGACCACTTAAATATCAGTCAATCAGTACATGAAGATATCGAAGAACGGTTAAACATTAAAAATTTTAGATGTTAAAGTGACATAATTGCTTGTCTTTTTCGCTGTCATGTTGATCAGAATAAACTATATAATTATTATATATTGATACAATAATTTATAGCGAGCTCGGTAAGCAGGACAAATTACGGTAACGCGGTTATCTTCAAAAGTGATGATTTTGAAATATTTTGACGGATGTACATCAAAATTATGGTTAATGAATTTGTCTGCTCTTTATTGGAGGTTATTTTGGTTCCCTGCCCTATTTTTGCAGCATGCCAGGAGTTAGTACCAGCAGGTTATCTGCTCTAGTTTTTATGGAAGCAAGCCGGTGATCAGTTCTTTCTGGTTTCCTGTCTCTTTATGGTTCACATTCAAATTGACATTCGGAACATCTTGCCATTTTCCATCAATCCAAATACGAAATTTCGCGAAAGTAATTTTTCCCGAAATAGTACTCCTAGCGCGTTCACGATCGTTTGATCAATTAAATATAAACTACATAAATGTTTGACTGATTCAAGTATACTGTACAAATTTAAATAAAAATAAAGTCAAAATAACTAACTTCATACGCAAATTTTTCATAGAATATTAGAGTAAAAGTCAATATCAACTTCCGGTGGGTTCCCGTTTCACGATATCCTATTCCCGAAATTGATCCCGGAATTTGATTGTAAATGAATTTTTGTCCTCCGATGGGTGAGTGCATATCCTATAAAACATGAAACACCCCTATTTTGAAAGTAAAAAAATATACGTGAAGTGGTGTTGAATAAACTGTGCAGCCATTCCCTGAAACTAATCCGTTATTTTTAAATAATAGCCGAGGTGTTCCGATTGGGGACGTTTGATTATTAAAATAAAGTTGGTTAGAACACGTTAAAATGTGCCATTAGATGGTTAAATAATTCTAACATTGGAATATATTGTTTCTAAACATCATTGAACAACTAGCTAGCGTCAATTGTACAACGACACGTCTGGCAGTCGTAAACACACGTCAACAAAAGCCATTAATTGTACAGTAATTGACATTACGCCAGAGAAGGGATCGCTCCGCCCACTGATTCACGTGACCTGGTCAGTAAGAACCTTAGACAAAATACGGTACCGATGTATTTGCAAAACGGTTATGCCACTAATGTTACCAATGAATTTACCTTATATAATTTTTGTTTATATAAACTTTTGATGTTTTTATCGTTTTATTGAATAGTAGATATATTATTCAATGTAGTATGGTATTTTAAAAAAGTAAAAAAAATAATATTATCTGCATTAGTTTAAACATATTCATTTCAATGTTTGCGTATATTACATTTTACATGTATATGTATATAATTGTTACATGAAATTGAAAGGGAGTAGAATGAAAGAAAACTTATAAAGTTCCTCTCCCTTGATAACAAATGATATTTACAAAAACATATATGACAGGATAGATTATTGCAAGATTTTGTTTAAACATAAACAATGATAGAAAAAAAAATATCCGCACTCAGGTATTAAACGCAATGATCGGGTTATTTCTTGTTGACTTCAATGAAAATTTAAAACTGACAAAATATCATTATATCTTACAAATTCAAAGAGTTCAAATATGTAGAAAAGTATATGATTATGTTATGATCGTTTTATTTTGAAATTGAAGTAGCGAAACATAAACAGTAAAGTTTATTTGGCGACAAAAATAATTTTAAAATGATTTTCGGGTTTTATGTGTGAAATTTAGTTTAGATTATACATAAATTTCTTTAAAATTGATTCAGAAAATTGCATGCTCTTGCTTACTTTTTATGTCAGATATGTGATTATGTATTGTTAACATATATTTGATATATTTCACGACAAAACACAACGTTATTCTCTTTAAAGTAAGTTTCACATACTTGTTATCTGATCAGACATGATTTATTGGTATTAGTTTCGTATTATACAGATCTGTTTGAATATTTAATGTTAATTTATTGAACTTTAATAGAAATTTTCAGGTTAGAAAATTTCACCCAATTTTTTATTGTATTTACTCATTATAATTTGGATTTTTTATGTCTTCAATGCGTTTTTATTGACGCTATACGTTGTAAACGAAATTCTTCTGGATATTTTTTGACCTTATAATACGTAATGTGATTATGAATTATTATTAGAATGGAAATAAAAGGGTTTGTTTAAACATTTTCATTTTTCAATGCATTGTGTTATAGCCAGGATAAATATTTCGTACTTATTATTTCCATATGTATGAAATTATTGACATTTTGTATAATAAACTAACTTTTGTGATCTGTCAATTATGTCAGTATATTTGGTAACATAATATTAATGAATATATTGATAAAAAAGCTTTAAATTGACAAAAGATTAAAATAATTTCAATCTAAATTACTTCTGCACCATTGTCCTAGACAAGTAGCTTGTCTAAGGAAAATGGCGGACTTCGCAGGTATCTTAGCGTGGAACTGATAACGATCGCTGATTGGCTTATCTCTGTGATCCCTGCCCGTCTGATTGACAGGCGGCGTAATGTCAATTAAAACAATTCTCCTTACTTAACCAAAATAATATGAGTTTACAGTGAAATAACAATATTACACCGTTATTAACCATGATTAAAATGATTCCGAGAATGACAAATAATGAGAAGAAATTAAATCGGACTTCATTTTAAGTTCATTTTCCAAGATATTAACCAACCTGTACTACTGGTATATCCTGTAATGTACCAGAGAGTTCCGATGGTGGCTTTGAGTTATTTTAAGACAACAGTTTAACAGTTTAGCAGCATATATCATATAGTCCTATAGCAATATAAACACCTAGAATGGACACAACATTGAGCTTACCTTTTACACCACAATGTGTGTTGGAGTTGGGAAGTTTTAGTGACGAACGTTTGTAGACAACGTGGGGATGACCTTCTTGTTCAATTCTGTTAGTATGGTTCCATAATGGTTCCACAAAGTAATCTTCCTCCGCCGTAGAAAATACTCCGTGCTGAAATTTCATGAATAAGAGGCAACGATATATTAGCAGCGTGCCTCCAAATTCATGCTTATTTTCATGGAAATTTTATAACTGTATTGAAAAGTGAAAAATTGTTAAGTGAACAAGGAAATAATTGACATATTATAAAACAGCACTTGCAGTCTATGTATATTAACAAAAAAGAGGTCAAAATAAGCAAACATAGCTGTTACTGCGTTAGTAAAGCAGTAAAAATATGGGGATAAACACTGCAAAATTAGTCCTTAATCGTACTAAACATATAAATTATTACATGGATCTTAAAACATTTGACTTTTCTAAGAATCTTAGTACATTTTTCTCAAGTTTTATTTTCTTGAAATATTTGGTTCATCTAGAGGCATGCATCTTTAAAATACCGAAATTTTTCGTCACAAGTCGGGATGTAATACTTGTTTATAATGTATAACTGTCAAATTCGCTAAAAAAATACAGCAAATATTCTTAGTTCGATTTTATCACAATTAATACGGTATTTAAACAACAAATTTATTCAGTTATTGGAGAACGCGCCGAAGCGCGATGCCCTTTATGGAATGAAAAAGGGCAATTGCAACTTCTCGGGCCTTTTCGTCGGTCATAAAAGCCGATCATTCCGATTGTACTTTAAACTGTATTTAGATTTTTTTTTATTACATTTATTACATTATGAAATAATCTCCCTTACCAGACCATTACAGTTGCTGATAGCTGCTGTAGAGATGAATGGTTCCCGGCTTTGACCTGTGTAGTAGCAATTTGAAATACTGTCAGATGTTGCTAGAACACCTTCGCGGTCCTGGTATTCCACGTAGAAGCCGGGAGAAAGTAATTCTGTGTTTAAAGTGAGATCAAAA